TACCTACCTACTTGTATCAATCTGTCTACCTACCTACCTCTATCAATCTGTCTACCTACCTACTTGTATCAATCTGTCTACCTACCTACCTCTATCAATCTGTCTACCTATCTACCCGTATCAATCTGTCTACCTACCTGTATTAATCTGTCTACCTACCTACCTAAATCATACCGTCTGACTACCTACCTACCTAAATCATACTGTCTGTCTACCTACCTACCAAAATCAATCTGCCTGTCTACCTACCTACCCGTATCAATCTGTCTACGTACCTACCTATATCAATCTGTTTAACTAACTACCTAAATCAATCTGTCTGTCTACCTACCTACATAAATCAATCTGTCTGTCTGTCTACCTACCTAAATCAATCTGTCTGTCTACCTACCTACCTAAATCAATCTGTCTGTCTACCTACCTCCTAAATCAATCTGTCTGTCTGTCTACCTACCTACCAAAATCATACTGTCTGTCTACCTACCAACCAAAATCATACTGTCTGTTTACCTACCTACCAAAATCAAGCTGTCTGTTTACCTACCTACCTAAATCAATCTGTCTGTCTACCTACCTACCTATATCAATTTGTCTACCTACCTACCAGTATCAATCTGTCTACCTACCTACCCTTATCAATCTGTCTACCTACCTACCCGTATCAATCTGTCTAACTACCTACCCGTATCAATCTGTCTAACTACCTACCCGTATCAATCTGTCTAACCTACCTACCCGTATCAATCTGTCTACCTACCTACCCGTATCAATCTGTCTAACTACCTACCCGTATCAATCTGTCTACCTACCTACCCGTATCAATCTGTCTACCTACCTACCCGTATCAATCTGTCTACCTAAAGTAGAAGACATACAGACTGATATAGGTAGGAAGACAGACAGATTGATGTAGGTAGGTAAGTAGACAGATTGATATAGGCAGGTAAGTAGACAGATTGACACAGGTAGGTAAGTAGACAGATTGACACAGGTAGGTAGGTAGACAGATTGATACAGGTAGGTAGGTAGACAGACTGATATAGGTAGGTAGGTAGACAGACAGATTGAGTCAGGTAGGTAGGTAGACAGACAGTATGATTTTGGTAAGTAGGTAGACAGACAGTATGATTTAGGTAGGTAGACAGACAGACAGATTGATTTAGGTAGGTAGGTAGACAGACAGACAGATTGATTTAGGTAGGTAGGTAGACAGACAGATTGATTTAGGTAGGTAGGTAGACAGACAGATTGATTTAGGTAGTTAGTTAAACAGATTGATATAGGTAGGTACGTAGACAGATTGATACGGGTAGGTAGGTAGACAGGCAGATTGATTTTGGTAGGTAGGTAGTCAGACGTTATGATTTAGGTAGGTAGGTAGACAGATTAATACAGGTAGGTAGACAGATTGATACGGGTAGAATATTAATCTGTCTACCTACCTACCTATCTGTATTTTACTTTACTATTCATAATCAAATGTATTCATCTCAGTAAGTTGTTATCATAATTTTTCTTCATCTTTCCTTATATTGAATAGTACTAAAATATGCTAGTCTTATTCACACACTGTTTTAAAGGTGCGAGTTATTTCTGTACGTAATATTTCTATACAGTTGACCTCTAGATTGTTTGGGGAAACAAAGACAGAAACTTGTTGTTGTTTTTTTTTTTGTATCGTAAAATAAACAAGTCATTCTTAAAGATATATTTTACTTGAAACATCTACAAGTCAGTTTATTGCTCAACATTTGTGCGAAACTTCATGGGTCTATTTCTCAGTCGTGTCTAAAGATGAGACTAACCAGTGACTGAAAACAACCGACGACAAAAAGCCGTAAACATAAACAAACAAACACTCGATACTCGTCAAAAATTAAAACAACTGAGAGTGGTTCCGGAAGTTTCTTCGTCTGATCCCGCACGTGCACCAGAAATCCTGACCAGTTTACTACGATAACGTATAGAGAGAGAGCTATCAAAACCTTGGCAACATTTTTAAAATACTAGGTCACGAACTGTTCCACCAGTTCAGTCCCTGGTTCGTAACCCTCAAATTAGCCACTCGTTATTATTATGCTGGTGGAGTCCTCAGAGATGTGTCATATTGAGTTATTTTATGATAATATTTTGGCTGTTACTACATTAAGTGTGAAGGACTGATAATAATTGAAAAAAACTTCGTGAAATCGCTCATTTTCAATATAAATTACATTAAAGACCACGCAATAATTAGTGAATTAATTACTGTATTGACGGTATTTTTGTTTACATTGTTTGGTGTTACACGTATGATATTAGCGGCTCTGTAATCAACAAAGTCGTGAACCCAGAAACAGTTTGTTTAATTACAGTATTGAAGGTATTTTTGTTTACATTGTTTGGTATGACACGTATCATATTAGCGGCTCTGTAATCAACAAAGTCGTGATCCCAGAAACAGTTTGTTTAATTACAGTATTGAAGGTATACTTGTTTACATTGTTTGCTGTGACACGTATGATATTAGCGGCTCTGTAATCAACAAAGTTGTGAACCCAGAAACAGTTTGTTTAATTACAGTAATGAAGGTATACTTGTTTCAATTGTTTGGTGTGACACGTATGATATTAGCGGCTCTGTAATCAACAAAGTCGTGATTCCAGAAACAGTTTGTTTAATTACAGTATTGAAGGTATACTTGTTTACATTGTTTGGTGTTACACGTATGATATTAGTGGCTCTGTAATCAACAAAGTCGTGAACCCAGAAGCAGTTTGTTTAATTACAGTATTGAAGGTATTTTTGTTTACATTGTTGTTGTCTACAATAGGAGTTTCTCTGAATGACGGCACGGGTTCTAACCGGTACTTTTTTAAAAATCAGACTGTGTCTCTTCATCAGCAGAAGGATCTATATGTGTTCGACCCAAAGTTACCCAGGTGAAGTTAGAGAAAGAGAACGGAAGTTTCGGTTTTTCGTTGAGAGGCGGTGCTTCCTCAGATAGACTGAAGTCCAGACCACTCACCATCACGCACGTGCGACCAGGAGGACCTACGGATAGGTTGGTTGCATTAGTTGCTAAATTTTACGTAGTTTTAATGTACAAAAGAACTGGTTAGTGCGAGCTGTCGTATACTGTAGTTTAAAATATTTACTGTAATAAAGTTTTATTTATTGTTAGGCACAAAGCAACGCGGTAGACTATCTTTGCTACGTTCAACGCAGGGACCGAGCCACGAATTTTACCGTTATAAATCTTTGAGCTTACTGTTGAGATGCAGGAGGGCCTATTGCCCTATAATATTGATCGAACTGGACATGAGTTATGTAGTTGTTATACTTGGTGCTGTAATTCGAAATATTTACCACTAGCTGACGAAGACCCCCCCCCTCTCCTGTTTCACTGCGTGGGGGACATAATAGTACAAGTCCAGTTTTGTTTTGGTTGAGATTTATCACAAAACTGAAGGCGTGAAAGTGGACACACTGACAGACTTGAGCCCCATCTAGTGACTCAGGGGGTGGATGGGGATCAGATCCGAACGCTGGTCCATCTGAGATACTTCCTGGGGTGATGGGTCTAAAGGTGTTTAAGTTCGATTGAGATCGGTCGAAAAGTGTAGGCGTGAAAAGTGGGCACACAAGAACACATGCACACAGACAACAGGTGTGCTTTATGACAGGTTATTCACATTGTTTGTTTGTAGTTATGCACAAAGATACGCAATGGGCTATCTGTGCTCTGCCCACCACGGGTATCGAAACCCGGTTTCTAGCGTTGTAAATCCGCAAACATACCGCTATGCCACTTGGAGGGATATTCAGATACATACATCGTTACAAGTATTTGCAGTTAAATCGGAGAATACTAAAAGGTTACTGAGGTATGTTTTTGTGTAATGTTTTTTATCGAAATGTTTTATAATTTACAGTGAATCATCAAATGTTAGAAATCCTACTGTTTATTGCTAAAATTAATAAATATCAAACTGCTTAATGTTTAGACCAGTGATTCTGAACTTGGTGGGCACGCCCCCACAGGGGGTACAGTGAATCACAAATGTTAGAAATCCTACTGTTTATTGCTAAAATTAATAAATATCAAACTGTTTAATATTTAGACCAGTGATTCCGAACTTGGGGGGCACGCCCCCACAGGGAGTGGAGGGCAATTTGAAAATGCTACAGTAAGAAAATTTTTTCATTTGAGTGCGAAATTTTGGTAAATTTTACATTATATTATTATAGCTTTTCAACACCAAATTTGTTTTTATATAAAAGGGTATCAAATTTTTTTGAGGTGTCAAGGTGGGGCATGGGACAAAAAGGGTTAAGAACCACTGGTTTAGACTATAAACATTGAAATGTTTCGTAGAAGGTATTTGAAACGTTTTAAAATAATGTATTTTGTATTCACCTTATTTTAAAAAAATTATCGTAAATTTAACGCACTTAAGGCAAATAAGTTGTCATGACAACATAAGATTTTCTAAACAAACTCTACAAAACTTTTAAACTTTTATCACATCTCAAAATGCTAACCAAAAACTAGTTCCATAAAACTAGTCTGACCAGTTTAATTTGACTTTTAGTTAACATAAAATACAGTTGCAACGTGCGCATACTTCACCATATAATAAAAAAACGATCGTGACACACGTTGAACTTTACAAGTAGCGTATAATCAGCTTTTCTGTAGTCTACGAATAAAGTTAAATAGTTATATTTATGGTGTATAAACCTGATGTCACTAGTGGTGACTAAGATTGGTTGTGATTATAAACGTTATATTGTGGCAAAATTCTTTTTGTGTGTGTGTGTGATAAAAGTAAACTTTTATGTACAATGTTCCGTTTATAACAGGGAAGGGACGATCAAGGCAGGTGATCGCTTATTGGCTGTTGAGAACATTAATTTGGGGAATGCTTCCTTGCAAGAAGCGTTAGTAGTTCTGAAAAGACTGGATCAGAAAGGCCTGTTCACTCTGGAGTATGATGTATCCGTTATGGGTGAGGTTTGTCTTGTCTATTGTAGGATAAAGTGTGGGTATAATAAAGAAGACTGTTGTATGATGTTCTTTAAATATAAGTATTAGTATTTGATTGTAAAGTGTGGTTAAATTATATAGTTTGGTTTTCCATGATATATTGGATATGGTGGATATGGTGGATATATGGTGAATATGGTGGATAGATTTTGTTTATCATAATATGTATATAATAAATATTTTATCCTTATATTTGAAAAAAACTACAGTCTGTTTATTGTGATGTACACATATTTGTTTGATAGAGTGTGTTTCTCCTAATGAGTACATAGTCAGTTTATCATTATGTATAAAAGTATTGAATGAATAGTTTACTGTTATTAAAAGTATAGAACGGGCTATCTGCCCACCACGGGTATCGAAGCTCAGATTTTAGCGTTACAAGTCTTCAGACTTACCTCTAGAGACACTGGGGGTGGGATGGATGAATAGTTTATTGTTATTAAAAGTATAGAACGGGCTATCTGCCCACCACGGGTATCGAAGCTCAGATTTTTAGCGTTACAAGTCTTCAGACTTACCTCTAGAGACACTGGGGGTGGATGGATGAATAGTTTATTGTTATTAAAAGTATAGAACGGGCTATCTGCCCACCACGGGTATCGAAGCTCAGATTTTTAGCGTTACAAGTCTTCAGACTTACCTCTGAGACACTGGGGGTGGATGGATGAATAGTTTATTGTTATTAAAAGTATAGAACGGGCTATCTGCCCACCACGGGTATCGAAGCTCAGATTTTTAGCGTTATAAGTCTTCAGACTTACCTCTAGAGACACTGGGGGTGGGATGGATGAATAGAGTCTGTGTATTGTAATAAGAATGCTGGATTTAGGGACCTTCTATATGTGACTGTATAATATCTGTGTCATTAAACTTCTCTTTAGCAGTACGTGCTACAGTAAATAAATTTATCACGTTGAACAAACTTTATATTTACCGAGGAGTGCGTATTTTCTACAGAACAGATATCAAAACAAACTGAAGCTCTTATACTCCCCATTTCTGTACCAGTGAGAGTGGTGTATGTTTTAAGTGAAAAACAACAACTCGTGAGACGCACGAGAACTTCCGTAGCTAAAGTACTGGCTGAAACGGTATTATTATTTTATGGTCGAATTTCTGATCATTTGGTGGAGACGATAATACATTTAAGATTTAGTTGGTATTAAGTGTTTTTAAAACATTATACTGTGTTATATATATTAGACAAATATACGTGTCTCTTACTTCTCCGTGAATACAATACGCACGTTCTTTGAAACAGATGCTGTTTGTAATGCTTCGGGTCCTCTTTTGGTTGAAATTGACAAGACTCCAGGTACACAGCTGGGTATAACTCTCACCCAAGTACACAGGCCACAAAGTGCCATCGTAATTGAAACTATACAGCAAGCAAGTGTGGCAGAAAGGTAGGTTGTAGTATTAGAGAAAAAAACGTGTATTTTTTAACCCTTCTTTGACATAGCAGAAACTATGATTATTACCTGGGAAAGGTAGTAATTTTTGATGGTGTATTAAAAATTTACTTTTGTTTCTACCTGTTTAATTCCATATAATAGGATGTGAGAAACTGGTTTGTTTTGTTTTGAATTTCGCGCAAAGCTACACGAGGGCTATC